GAGAAGATAATTTTTCCTAAAAAGACTAAATTTCCTTTAAAAATTAATTTCTTTTGTGTATATTTAACATCACCTAATTTTCATATATGATTAGTGATAGTATGGTTTCTTTTAAATGTTTCTCAGAGAAATAGAATTGAGGATTTTACCCCCAGCATATATACCTTCCAAGAAGTGTCCTAAAAACTCAAGGACAAGGGCCTCCTTGGTGGCTCAGGGGGTTAAGCACCGCACTATGAAGCAATCTGCAGCCTCTGCAGCATGATTTTGATTCCTGGCCAGCCAGGGAGAAGCCCACATGGCGAGGCAGACCTCTCCTGTCTCACCCGCTGCTCCCCTCACCAGTGTCTTTTGGTCAATCTGCCTGTTCTGTTCCCCACTCTGTCTCCTGTGGATCCTCTCATCCCCCGCACTTCTGGACTGTACCCTAGTTCTTGTATGCATAAATAAATAAATCTTTTAAAAAAACCCTCAAGGACAAGTAAAACAATGCAGGTCAAAAAAAATAAGATTAGATAAAATTTGCATGCAAATGTTTATAGATTTATACAGAATTTCCACAGTCACTGTGTTACTCAGTCTGAGATCTGGGACCCTAAAGAAGAATGACTTTGGGGTCCTGCCTGTGAACCAGGTCTCCCCAACGACATCATGACTAGCTGCTACCTCAGAACCCCCATCTCTCCCCACTAATAACAGAAGCTTGTCAACTATCTCCCATTGTCCACAATATGTACAGGAGTAACCATGAATGACAACATTAATATTAATAACAAATAGTACGAATAATATAGCCATAACACAGTTTGGAAAAGTAAAATAAATGCAGCTAACTTCTAAACTGCTGATCTCAATCTCGATTTAACCAAAATGAAGAATAATTTAAAGGCACACAGAAGAAATGAAGAATAATTTAAAGGCACACAGAAGAATGTATGACCAGGCAGTGCCCAACCTGAAGAGCCATAATCATATATATGGACATGCCATACCTGTTAGTACATTGGCAAATAATATGTACAAAACCCAATAACATGCTGTCTTCCATATGCATACAGAGAAGGTAGAAAATAAGTTAGGAAACAAACATTACAAATAATAGAAGTTGTTGAAGTAGTTTCGGGTGTCAGTGACTGAGTAGTGGATTTCTTGGATAATATGGACAGGAAAGCTTCCTCTGACATGTGTCCAATTCTGAGATCTGAATTAAGTGAGGGAGTTTTCTCCTGTCTTCCTTCAGTCTTTTCTTGTTTTGTCTTTTATGAGTTTGACATTTTTTTGAAGAATGACTGCTGATTACTTTGTAGACTATCCTCCAGTTCGGATTGGATTTGTGTTTTTTCATGATTGGAATGCAGTTATGAGTTTTTCACAATCACCACAAAAGTGGTGTTTTTTAATTTTGATTACCTGGCCAGGTGATGTTGTGTTTTCTTTTGGGGTGATTGTAGTTACTAAATTTTTGGTGGAGATACTGTGAGATAGTGCAAATCCCTTTTGTTCCCAAATATTTCCTCCCAAATATTAGTATCCATGGGCAGGTTTCATCTGCAATAATAATTAATGTGATATTTGCCACATGCTTGCCTTTCATTTCCCTATTTCCTTCTAATTCATCAACTAGAATTCCACTGTAAGAAAAAGTCCTTTTTCCATCATTTCTTTATTCAATCATCTATTTCAATCAATATCACCCAGAGATATTTTATTTTTCCCTACGGGTAAAAAATGGATGTGATCGTTGTGTATTTTGTTGACATTAGGAGTTCCATTGAGTTGCTGCTGTGTGTTATCATGGTGGTTGTTTTCTGTTGAGATGATCCCTTGTTTTTAAATTAGTTCCCTTCTGACACCACAAGATATTTCATGACCATTTTCTATTTTCCCTTCTCAATCCTGTAGCAACCACTTCTCCAGCATGTCATGTAAGGTCATAGATAGAAGTAAAATGTACTGATTTTAAATTATAATTGAAAGAACAAATTCAAACAAAGTGACTACTGGGTCTCAGCCCAGCTCATGGTGAGTCAGTCTGTTTTTTTTTTCTCAAATCCTGTTGAGACAGCTGACCAAAATAAATGATTTCCCAAGCTACCTCCATCATTCATCACTTGTCAGGAAAAGCTGTATTTTGCAGTGCTTCTGTTTAATTTTACTGATTTTGGTAATTAGAACATTCAGAGCAGAAGTGGTGTATAGATATGGTGCTAATGGAATGAATTAATTTATATAAGCTTAGTATTTATTTTCCTGTTTCTATAAATAGGTAGCTTTGTGTTTTACCTTGTGATGGCCCAGGGGCCATCTCCCAGTGGGTCCCAAACCTTTATATTATTCAATTTATCCACAAAAGAGCATTTGGAACTAAGAACTCACCCTATTGAGGTAAGAGAGGGTTGATGATGGGTACATTTAACAGGGATGTATAGTTTCCTTAATGCTTTTTGTATCTCTTTCATGTTTGACTATGGCATAATACACACACATTAAAGCTAAAAATATTTTAGAAATCAAATTACATTTTATTTTTTCAACTATACCAATTCTACTTCCCATAAATTAAAATTTCTTAACTTCTCTGTTAAGTGTAATTTAGAACAATGCTCCATAATCTAGTAGATCGTTTTAATTTGAATTGTGGGGTTCCCCACTGAAGAAGACAGAGCTAACCATGAAGTTATAGGCAATGCACTGTAGATACAAATATACTTTGAAAAAATAATTCATAGCTAAAGTTATCCAGAAAAGATTAGGGGAGTTCTCCTATGGCCTTTCAAAATACAACAAAAGATCTGTTGTTTTAAAATCACTATCATAACAATATTTTAAGCCAAATAAATTAACTAGTTCATGTATTTACTATTTTATTTTATATATCATAAGCAAGCATTTTTTCTGGGAATAACGTGTGTTGGTATTGTAAAGTGTTGTCTTATATTATGCTGAAAGAAAAATTTTCGATATAATTTTTTGTTATATAGAAATTATTATTTTACTCTGCTTTTATTTAGTAGATGAGCTCACTGGCCAAATTTGAATTTTAACTTTGCCCACATTGCAGGGCCCTCATCTAGTCATTCACTCGTGTATTTCTGCTATGTGGGAATCATTTACAAATTTTGTCTCATCAAAAAATATTACCATTAACCAATGGAAATTCCATCTATTAATGTTATTTAGTGAATATAACTGCTTGATTTTTTCAAAGTTACAATTGTCCTTATCGATATCTAGGAATTCACAGTAGAAGATAAACATTTATATAGTCAAATATCTGACATACTATTTTTATGTAGAAATAGAACGTCGTTACTAACTGATCAAATCTCCAATGTTTATTGCAAATCTTTGTGGTGATGAAAAGTTTTATCACAGCTGAAAGTGTTTCTTAATATTTCCCTGAATACAATATATTTTTTGTAAAATCCATCATTTATGTATATTTTTAAATGTCCCACATTTTTATCTATACTCATTACAAAGTCTAATATATTTAGATATAGTTGGTATAATTTTGACTAATACTTAAATTTCCATTCTACATTGCTCTAATTATTTATTGCTGTAACATATTAACATAATAGCCCTGCATAAATGCATCAATGTGAAAGTATTAACAAAAGAGACAATTCCTTAAAAAATGCAAAATTGGCTAAAGTTACAAATTTTCCAGACATAATTCTATTAGACAAAAAAATATTTCTAACTTGGCAAAAACTTCCCTTTTGTCTGTATTAAATATTTTGGAAATTTTAGTATCACTATTCCCAATTAATTTCATATTATAATGTTTTCAGTGGGGAAAAAACTTTCTAAGTGAAATTTCTCCATGTCTGATAATGGGAAATATTAAGAGAAAATCCTGAAGAATTGAATGCATAAATTTAATTGGAACTTCTGACTTCAGGAAAACCCTATAACATTCATTAAATAGAGCTATAAATAAAAAGAAGTCAAAAAGATATTTTTTATGAAAATTTTAACCAAATCTACAATTTTTTGAACTGCTTGTGAAAGATATGCAGAACAGGAGCCTATTTTTGTGGGAAATTTATTGACTTTACTGTTGGACTGAGAAAGTCTACATATCTATATAATAGGAAAATCACTTGACTTTATGACTCAGGGGTATGTTCTGATAATTTTATAAAAATATAAATATAAAGTGAAGGGAGAAACAATTGCTGTTGATTAGAATTACTAGAGAAAATTGAATGGAGCATAGAACTTGAACCAACATCTTAAGGCACTGCAGTGTGTTGATGGATAAATCCTGTGTGCTGAGAAAACAGAATCAATGGAAGTATTTCAACTTGATATTTTAACAAGTCCTGACTAATCTCTATAGTTCCACAAATACATATCCTTGTTATGACACAAGAACTGTAAGCGATATAAATTCTAAATATTTTATTTATAATTAAGAGAAAAACCTGTAGGTTTTAGCTTCAGTGGATGCACAAAATTATTCTTGAAAATGAGAAAGTAGAAATAAGCAAAAAACACAGTAGAGCAAGAAAAAAGCACCAAGTTCAATTTCATTCCTATAGCTCACATCTTGTGTTCTATTTACATTTTTACCTAATAAGCTAAGCAAAAATGCTAACTTGACAAATCTCAAATGAAACTTACCCTCTTTAAATTGATGTTAGTATTTTCCATGCACCTGTGACATTATTTTACAATGTGGAGAAGAAAATCAAAATAGAAAGATAAGCAGGAAAATATAAACAAACGGGGAAATTGTGACAAATAAATATCGATATAGTTGAGAAAACATAATTTAAAATTCCCTAAGAGGCAGTGACTTTGTTATTTATGAATTTTAAAAATGTGTTGTCATTAAAAGAAATTTTCAGTTTAAATTATAGACAAAGTCCGAGTTGAAAATTCTACTCCTAATTGCTTTGGCCTGACTTTAAATTTCAATTAAAAAAAAACTGGAACATTTGCTTTATTCCAACTTTCATACTTATTCTTCTTCTCTACCATAGTTAACAATGGGAAACCAAACATCAGTGTCAGAGTTCATTCTTGTTGGATTGACAGATGATGCTGATCTGCAAGCTGTGCTGTTCCTCTTTCTGCTGGTAACTTATGTCCTAAGCATCACGGGGAACTTGACCATCATTATTTTGACCCTGCTGGACCATCGCCTCCAGACTCCTATGTATTTCTTCCTCCGGAATTTTTCTGTTTTGGAAGTATCTTTCACCTCTGTCTTTGTTCCCAAAATGCTCATCAATATTGGGACAGGAGACAAGTCAATCTCCTTTGCTGGTTGTTTCACTCAGTACTTTTTTGCCATCCTCCTGGGAGCAACAGAGTTTTACCTCTTGGCAGCCATGTCTTATGATCGCTATGTGGCCATTTGCAAACCCCTCCATTACACCACCATCATGAACAGGAGACTCTGCTTCCTCCTAGTCATTTGTCGCTGGTTCTCTGGGTTTTTAGTTGTCATTGCACCACATATAATGACTGTCCAGCTGCCTTTCTGTGCATCCAACGTCATCAATCATTATTGCTGTGACTATACTGTCTTGTTGCATTTAGCCTGTTCAGACACACACTTAATAGAAGTGACTGAGTTTGTTGCTGCTGTAGTTACCCTCATCTTCACCTTGGTTTTAGTGATTCTTTCCTACACGTACATCGTCAGGACAATTCTGAGACTCCCCTCTGCTCAACAAAGAAAGAAAGCTTTTTCTACATGTTCCTCCCACATGGTTGTGGTCTCACTTTCTTATGGAAGCTGTATCTTTATGTACATAAATCCCTCTGTTAAGGATGCAGCAACTTTTAACAAGGGAGTGGCTGTTTTAAACACCTCCGTTGCTCCTCTTTTGAATCCTTTCATCTATACACTAAGGAACAAGCAAGTGAAAACAGCCTTCAGAGATATGGTCAGTAAAATACCAATTTTTTCAAGAAAATGAAATGATCAGGGATTACTATTTTTTTAAATAAATGATAAATATTTGAAAGACTGTAGATGTGCATTATTCAAATGTAATGTATTTTCTACTTTATATTCTATTTTCCACAAATATTCCTATATAAACACCAATATAATACAATAGCTTACGTCAATTTTATAATAATTTTATTGTTCTTAAAAATGAGCTTGTCTCCTAAGACTGTTTTTTTTAAATTTACACATCACTTTTAAAGAAAGGACTTGTGTGAGAGTTAGAACTGCGAATATGACTTCCTATAGTTTGTTTTTTAAACTGAATATTTTAAAGTTTTTTTATCAAATGTATAAGTTACATCAATATATTTTCTCAACTCAATAAACATACATGCCACACTTCACCTACTACCTAGTCCTAGTATTTTTTTTTTATCTTATATATATATTTACCATCAGGTATTCAATGTCTACACTTGTAAGAGAATAAATAAGTTTACATTTTGAAGAAATTTATTTTAGGTTATTAATAATTCTATAACTTGATAGTATGTTGGCATATTGATGTAAATATTAATATCTTCAAATTATAAAAATCAAATCTATGCTTAGTCATTTCACAATAATCATTTGAGGAGAACCTACACATATCTAATGCTTTAGATAAAAAAAATTCTAAGAAAGTCAAAGCCTATATATGTTCATCTTAATATTGATGAGAAATATTTATTGAATTATGCACAGATTAGACTCTTTCAGTGAATCCTTAAATGAGGTAAAGAGGTTATTTAAGTTTAATATTATTTAGAACTATAATATTAACATTTTTATAAATATTTCATTATAGCAAATTTCATGCAATTTAATATTGTGCCGTCATTGATTTAATTTTTATTTCTAAGGATATGTAATACAACTGTCTTGATTCTATCCATGGTGTTTTTATTTTTTTCTTAATTTCATATGCTTAGACCATGTTCATTGTAGGTTTCATACCAAATTTAAAATGTTTATAATTTGTTATCACTTCTACATGGGTCTCCATCACAGATAAAAGTTGTATTTTCTGAATAGTTCTTGTCCACATTCATTTGTAGATTAAATGGACTAAATTCAAGGCATGGGTAATTTTAAATTTTAAATAATATTTCTGCTCCAATATCTTAAATATACTGATAAACTTTTACTGAAATATATAATTAATTAGTGTCAATCCTGCATTCTTGAATTATTTACTCCTCCACTGACTGATAATATAGTACCTACTAGGTAGCAGAGATATTTAGTGTTCTAAGAAACCATGGAGAAAAAAGAGGATTGAAAAATAGAATTTGCCAGTTTCTACAAAGCAACCCATAATTTCAATAAAAATTACATAAGCACCTAATACATAATTTTATGTTAACAAGTGAGCTGATTTATTTCTTTGTTTTTTAGAGTTCCAGGTAATTGATTCAATAGTCCACTTATTTGTTTGTTATTTTGAAAATCATCAATACATTAATCATAATCATCCAAAACATTATCTCACTGTATGCTGCTTGTTCAATTTCATGTGTTAGATTACAGAATGAAAGAAATTTAGAGATTATATTGATAATTTCTGTTAAACACAAACACACAAAATTTTATTTTATTTTTTCATCTCATCTGAATTTCATTTTATTTTATTTTATTTTATTTTTATTTAAATTTTATCTTTTAATCCACATATAATTACAACCCCCTTATTTCTCTGGTTCATAGTTGTTTGTTGATTTTGATATTTTCTTTCCTATAGTTATTCTTTTTTCTGGTCCCTTATTTAAGTTTTCTAGATTCCTGCTGTGACTGAGACCATCCAGTATTTTTCTTTTTCTTTTTGGCTTAGTTCGCTGAGCATGATCCCTTCCAGCTCCATTCATGTTGCTGCAAATTGCATGTGTTTATCTTTTTTGAATGCTGAGTAATATTCCACGGTGTATATGTACCACATATTCTTAATCCAGTCATCTATTTTTGGGCATTTGGGTTAAACACACAAAATTTTAAAAGCCAATTCAAAGTAGTAGTGTATTGAAACAGGCCAGATGTTTATCTGCAAGAAAACTGGCAGCTAATAAAAATTGCAGAAAAAGATGAATTAACATATACTCTATCAACTGAAATCCCCATTAACCAGAGATACTTTGAGTCACCAAAACATTGACAAATGATATTCAAAATTATACACGTTTCTTTTCAAATTCCAAATTATTCAGGAAAAGTTTTTTAAAAGTTGATTACAGATTTAATAATAGGGCCTCCCCAGTGGCGCAGTAGTTGAGCGCTGGGCTGCAAAGCTGCCCACAGCCTCTGCAGCGCTGGTTCGATCCCAGCCACCGGCAAGCATCCCACATGTCACGCTGCACCCACTGCTCCCCTCAGCAGTGTATACCCGTCCTTCTGCCTGTTCTGCTCCCCACTCTGGTTCTGGTGAATTCTCTAACCCTCCTGCGCTTCTGACTATACCCAGTACTTGTATAAATAAATTAATAAATCTTTAAAAAAAAAGATTTACTAATGTTATTTCACTTTGGAGTCTTTGAAAACCAGTAATTTAGTATGAAGAGTCTAACCTTATTACTTGGAAGTTTGAATGACTAGTACTCTCCATTATGAGAATCTTCTCAGAGTTAATAATGATTTCACAGTTTCCATTAATGTTTTTAACTTTGATAATATCTTGCAATTTCACATACAAATCCTTCCTATTGGTACTCTGACATTGCTGTACATTCTGCACAAGTCCTTTCTGTTCTGTTGGGTTTGTAAGGTGTTAACTGCTACACCAAGGAGGTGGGTGTCTTAAACCATAGGGAGTGAAGGCTTCAAATAAGTCAAGGGGAGATTGGAATGTAAACAGTTGACAGTGGGACTGAACCTTCTAAGGTGTCAATATTTGTGTCCTTAAAAATTCACATGGGGCCTCCCTTGTGGCTAAGGGGTTAAGCACCGCACTATGAAGCAATTCACAGCCTCTGACGCATGAGTTCCATCCCTCCTGGTCAGGAAGAAACCCACATGGTACAGCAGACCTCTTCTGTGTCACCCGCTGCTCCCTTCAGCAGTATATGTCAGTCAGTCTGCCTGTTCTGTTCTGCAATCTGTCTGGTGAATCTTCTCATTCCCCCTTATCTCTGGCCTGTACCCCAGCTCTTGTATGCATAAATAAATCTTTAAAAATAAATAAAAAAGATGCTATCTGCTCAAAGCTACGAAGACTATAAGGAGGTGGCAATATTACACCACTGAGCTTTTGTAGATTTGCTGCACTTGATAATAAAACTCTCCTGCTTAATCTAAAACATTAATTCATAAACATAATCTATTTCTCAACAGTAGAAAGTATTCTATTTTAAATTCTTAAATTCATATTTATTCAATTCCTATTTAGTGTCAGGAATAGTCCACACACTAAGTTATAGGGAAGAATGACAAATAACATGTCTCTGCTCTATGGCAGCTTAGAATTTTGTAGACTCCAGAGAGAAAACAAACAAACAAAAAACATGTCCTGTAGATCCCACCTTTTGTGGAATATAAGTAACCCAAAACCTATACTGGTAAAACACAACAAAAATATCTTTACATTTAGTGAAAGACATGCCGGTTACCAGAGGGAAGGGGGAGGGACTCTGGGGATGGGGGTGGAAGGAACCGGGAGGCCTTGCGGGAAATGAATGAAGCCTTTGCACATATGGAGAAGTAAAATTGTACCCTTAAAGTTACATAGAGCCGAAATGACTGGCATTTTAAAAAGAAAAAATAAAAAGAAAGAAAGAAAAACAAGTAAAAATATAACCATTGGTGTTCTTATAGAGAACAGGAGGCTCCTCCTAGAGGCGCCCTCTCAAAATGAATTTCTCGAGGAGATGGTGCTTTATACAAAACTTGGAATTTTGATATAGAGAGTGCAAGATAGGGAGAGACATTAAAAAGGGCTTGAGAGGTGGAAAGAGAGTCAATGTTCCACGGGTAAAAACAAAATAAAGAGCTTGAGGAGCTGAGGTTGGGGAGAGTGGCGTGGATCTGGGCCCCGGACGCGTCCCTGTTCCTCATAAACTGCCATTCATTTTGGTCTCGTGATGTCATTTTAGTGGAATAATAACATGATCAGAATTAGGTTTTAGAAAACATCATTTCATCTTCTCTATAGATACTGGGTTGAATAGGAGAAGGAGGCAGGGCGTGTAAAGAAGTCTACAGCTACTGATCAGGGAGACCAGTGGGAGGCAGAGGGGGGACTGACCTAAAATGGAGGCCGTGGAGGACTGACCTAAGATGGCGGCTCTGAGAGCAGCCGCCGGTCTCCTAATCAGAAAACATTTCCTGCTGACGCGCACCTAGAGCGCCCCAGCATTTTCACATGCTGCTGTGTCTCTACACTGTTCCTATCAATAAATTAAGAATAAAAGTGAAAATCCAGATCTAGTAGTGTAAAAACTCCCCGTGATCCACTACTCTCCCCCTCCCTTCAGCTGCTGGCGGAGTGTGGGCTCAATTGGAAGACTGAAGATCCTTCCTCAGTTCGAACGATTTGAAAAAAAAATCATTTGATTTTTGAAGGCTTTGAAAAGCCCCTGAATGACTTTATAGAGGGGACCAGCCCCATCGCACGCTCCCAACACACCTACAGATAGAAACAACGCCAACCTTTGGGGCTGCATATTTTAACAGTAACTGTTAAGAAAATAACCATCTCTATTGTGCAAATAGGCAAACCTGATCTATTGGAATTAAGGGCAATAGTTAGCCCTGAAAGGGATAGTGAGCAGAAGGGAAAGGAGTGATGGTCAGGAGGACGGGGAACTGTTTGTCCATTGGGGAGCCCAGGTCTGGGAGGGGGAGGGAAGAATAGAAGAGAATATGGTGAGGGTTCCTGGGTGATATGGTGGCAGGAGAGATATGGGGGCTACAAGGACATAAAAATTAATTAATTAATTAATTAAAAGAGGGGGAAAAAGGTGACCAAGCTCTATAAATGTGATCTCTGTTCTGTATTTT